TGGGGGCGTGTTGGAAGAGCCGTTTTAGGAGGGCGTGGCTGACTTAACTTTTATAAAGAATATCTCTTTGGATTTGAGACTTTAGTCTTTGCAGCTTTACAGATCTTCTTTATGCACCAAGAGCTTGTAACACTCCAAAGAGAAAGGAATAATTGAAATCGCATCATATGACCCCTTTAATGTTTCAAATGCCACCTATAGAAATTACTTAATTGATATTATTTTTTTAAATGATATTTAAGCGAGACACTGCAGGTGAATAGGGTAAAAAAACGTTACTACTAATTATCACCTTACTTACCCAGTTGATTGATTACATTGATAATTGCAAAAAAAATTTGTATTACAAGTTTTGTAAAATGTTATGTTTAAATATGCAAATGAGGCATTATTTTAATGAAATATGTGCTAATTTGCATACATTTCTAGTACAAAAATCTGAACACTAATATGTCAAAAAAAATAAACGAATTTTGAAAACGACTTCATCCAGAGGCAAATGTTTTTACAGAGGGAATTTTGGGTATCTATTTTTGTCACTCCATAATTCAGAAAATACTTTGAACGGCCAGAAAACAATATATTTTCAAAATTTTGGGGGAAATAAAATGTTGTATATAATCAAGGAAATTATATATGAACAAATCCCTCTGTAAAAACCTTCAGAATATAGACAGGAATAAAAATGTAAAGTTTGGTGTGTGTAAGTGCTACTGAAGTGGAGATTTATGGCTCAGTGTAGGAGAAAAAACTCATTTTGAGAAAACGGCCTTTAAAAATTTGTATTGTAATTGAAATCTATTGACACAAATAGATAAAATGCTATAAAAGAAACGCTTAACAGTGTCTTTTGGATGTTTTCTTTCCACTAGTCTGAAAAAACACTTTATGAAAAGCCAAAAAGCCCAAAATCTCAAAGTTGACTGGTGCATGAAAAAACAGTGCTTTTGCCTGCAGTGTCTCCCCTTAAAGTGTTTTTATATAGTCCATGATGGAAGAATGCTTAGCTAAATCTGTGTTCATCATTTTCAGTACATTTAACATAATTTAGAGAAAATAGGACTAATCAGGTGAGAAATTATGTATTCTACATAACCAGACAAATATTGGCATAATTAGTCAAAATCAGTTATATAATTTTGCTTTGTTATAGATCATATAGGACTAATAGAATTCCTGTCATTTCTGATATGGCTAATTCAATTCTAATCCAAATTCCAATTTGTCAAAGCAATAGTTTACCAACTATGAACATTTGAAAATGTACTCCCCCTCAGACCATTCAAGATAAAAATGAGTTTGTTTCATCAGAACAAGAGAAATTAAGCATTACATCAGTTGCTCATAATCCATAATAAAGCTTCCTCCAGTGAAAAAGTTCACCCCCTGTTGTCCTCTCACATCAAAATCTCTAGACATATTTGTTTAGAACTGTTTTTACTTCTAAACCATGCTTGATTTGTACATATTTTCCTCCCGATTCAGACGAGACGACGTTCTCACTAGAGAAGTTAATATAATGGACGGGGGACTATGTATTTTGGGCAGAAATAATGGTTTGAAGTTAAAACATCTTGATGGATTAATTACAAACGCAAAGCTTTTCATTTCACAAAATAGTAGGCTATTGATGGGCTGGAGTTCTGTTGTGGAATATCTTGGATGTTTTTATCAGCTGTTTGAACTCTAATTCTGACGGCACCCATTCACTGCAGAGGATCCATTGCTGAGCAAGTTATGCTACATTTCTCCAAATCTGTTCTGATGAAGAAACAAACTCATCTACAGCAAATAGCAGGTTTTCTTTTTTGGGTTAACAGTACTGATATGACATTGATTCTTAAACTGTGCTCACATGCACTCTTTTAAACCCTTATTAATTTAAATGATTGCAAATGACTAATAGTATTCAAAACAAAGGTCTCAGTTCATTATTTTGCCACATCCGTGTAAAACTTTTCCAGTCATGGTCCTGTGCAGAATACAAGGGTAGTGTGTTTAAAATAACTCTTTTATTGTGTCTGGCGGTATTGTGAAATTTGTGACAGTCACCTCAGGTTCCAATATACAAAAAAAATCATTTTTCACAAGCATAACTTATGCAATGTTGACAAACCAGCTCTGTGAATATTGCTTGTACAAATTGTGTGTCAGGTGTCTGCCCGTTCACTCCTATTGTTCCCTTTAAAATAGACAACAAATGATGACTGAAGAGTGACTTAAGTGATGAAATAGTCATTTGCATTGCAGTTCATAATTAGTTTATAGGATAAAAAACTACTTTGTGTTTGGTATTTCAGTCTTGATTCGCATCTGCCGTTTGGCCAGATTTGTCTTATAGTCTTCTCAGAAATAAGTTGACCAGCCCAACATGTCAGCAGTGTTTACTGTCAGTATGATTTATACAAATAGACGGTTTTGGGACATGGATCATGGGACTTAAATTTAATCTCACCTATTATGCACATATCCTTAATGATGACGCTAAACAAAGACGTTTTGCTTTTTTTTTTAAGCGCATGATTAATAGTACACCGCTCGGCGTGACACTGCTTTTCTTTGTCACACTAATGTGTAGCTTTGCGGTCTTTTCATAATGATAATGTCAACCATTGGGTCGAGCTTAACCAATGTATGTTAAGTATATACGCCTGAAGTCTTGAGCTGGTGCAGAGTAACTGGCAGCAAATACGATGCTTTTGTTTAAAATCCTAATGTCCTTGTCACACGGTCAATATTGATCCTCTCGAAATCAGCAATACCAAAGGATGTCCTGTTTTACTAGATTAATCAAATCCAATGGAACTGACGTTCTCGTGCACTTTGTTCAACTTTGTCGTGAGTTTATTAAAGAGACAATCAAAGACTAACATTTTCAAGAATACGGCATTTTGAGAGGATAGCAGAAACCCCAAAAGATCGTCTTGTTTTGAGTCTGAGTGGGCGTATGGAGCAAAAAGAGGGAAAAGGAAACGGACAGTTTATGCTACTCAGAACAATAATTGTAGAATCTGCCACACAGCAACGGCTTAATTTGTTTATGTGTCATGACTGCCGCTATAAATGGCATCTGCTTCTGAGGTAAATCTGAAAGCATCGTGAAATAATGGAGCTACATCCTACCTATTCCCACGGTCCATATCCAGAATCCCTTTTGAGGTGCTTGTCAAAAGGGGAAGGATGAGAAGATGGAGATTTTTTTTGAGCGTTTCAATCGTTTCTTTTAGAGAAGAAAAAAAATTAAAGGGCAGATTATTTTGTCAAAGCCTTAAATAGGGGGAGTGGGGGAAGATGTGAGATGTGTCACATTTTGCTTATGTTGTCCTCTAGGGATGGAGAAATGAGATTTAAAATATATTATAGCCTAGCCTATATTAAAACAAAGTGGTCCAGTGACACAACTTGCCCCACATAATAGGCACGGTCAGAAATACCCCTGATATTTCAACTGTGGGGTCAGACCTGCCGATTTATGAATTCATCTAACATTTATTATTATTAATTAATTTAGGAGTTTTGTATAAATTAAGAGTGTTTTCGAATGTATCTTGTATTTTAGAAGTTCTGGAAACACTGAATATGAAAAAAACACTCCAACTCCAAATCTTGAAATAATAAATACATCAAAATAGACATTAACATACAGCATGGCTCAGTTATTTTCAAATGTTTTCTGCATTTCTGTTATGATATGTGTGATCTTGTCCATTATTTACAGATAATATTGTATTTGATCTAAATTTTAATTTAAAGGTAACAGCCATAGTTCAGAATATTTCGGTTAATTGAGTCCATTGAAGTATTTAACTTAAACTGACAGCAGAAAATGCCCTTATTAAGGTCAAAATGCATTTACATTTCAAATAATGTCTACAAAAATGTATTTTTTTAACTAATGCATCGTTTATACATTTATCAGGAAATAGTTTATTTCAATGTAGAGAACAATTTTCAACATTTTGTTACAGTAAACAGTATTTGTAATAGTAAGGGAGTCAAAATGTATTATTATTATTATTATTATTATTATTAGTTGATTAACTGACTTACCCTGTAGTATCTGACACACTTTACCCCATGACTACCATTTTAAGAGAATGCTTCATTTAATGATTCATTGCTAAAAAGTAATAATTCATGGTCTATTAACATAATTAAAAAAGAAGGATGCTGAAAATTCAGCTTTGCCATCACAGGAATAAATTACAATTTAAAATATATTCAAATAGAAAACAGTTATTTTAAATTGGAATAATATATCACAGTATTACTCTTTCAAAAACATAAAAAAATACATACATATATATTTACGCATGTTTGCTTTGATATTAAATCAACTATTTATGACTTGTGCATCCCAACCAGGCAGGTGTGCATCATGGGCCCTTTATACATTTTTGGTCATGTGACAAAAATAAAGCATTTCTCCTTATAGCTAAAACTTCTCAGTAGGTGTTTGCGTCAACACAAAGCAGCAGGTACGTCTGCAATCCGCCAACGTTAATCAAACGAAACAGGAAATCATGCCTCAAAATGCAGAACCAGAAAGATGTTTATCTAGTGAACGGCAAAAATGAGTAAACACAGTTTACACATCCAATTTGTCACACCCAAACATGTGCAGGTAGGACGAGGAGAGCAGGAAGTGTCATTTTCTGTCGTAATGTTTTTGCATTCTGGGGCATCAAGCTCCTTTTCCTGTTCCTTCAGTGAATGAATCCCTCATTTTAATGGTGTTCGTCCTCTGCTTGTTCACTGCACTGGAACCAATCATTCCTTTGAACTCTTTGAATCTTACAGGAAGAAATTCAAAGGTCAGTCATAAAATGATACTTTTTTTTTTAAACACCAGTTTCTCGGTTTAGATTCTCTTGAGTAGATCATTGGTTTATTCTGAACTCTTCGGGTCTTTGCTGCAGCTTTCATGAACCGCCGATACAGCTGTCAACAGGAACTCCATCATCTGATCATGACAATAGGAGTTACATACAGCAGCCCTCATGTCGGTATGGAGCACCAGAAGTATAAGGGAGGATCTGAACTGTCTGACATGTGAATCATTGTGCAGAACGACCGGTTTTGATGAGTAAGTGATGTAGAACCTGTCTGTTGAAAGTTCTGTGTCATGTCTGATGGAAGTTAAATAACAATTTCCTCAAGCGAAAATGAATAATGAGAATGTAAAACGCGTCATGAATTCTGCTGAAACTTGGACGCATACTGGCGGCCCCATCAAAACAGGTTTAAATATCTAAACGTTTCAACACCTTTGCTATTTTTAAAATGTTATGTACAATTGATTATATAATTTTATGAAGAATCTTGTATTGCTTTTCCAGTAGCAAAGTGGAAACTGGTGTTGGTTACCATGCTTTTCATTATTTTAAGAGTACTAGTGGAAATCATTCTTGACAGAATGTCTTTTTTTTTTTTTTTTACATTACTATATTTGTTGCACATCTTTGCCAACCAACCCCAACATGAATGAATTGTTAATTATTCTAATTTTATATCCATATGCCAACTAACCCCACTCACACTCTTTCCATGCCTGGCATCATCATTCATTACAGGCTTCCAAATTTTAAATCAAAATTCATAAAATGGATAATCCCAGTCCTGGCTTCTGATTGCTATTTTTGATGCATGTTGTGCCTATAATAACACCCTTTAACCAGCGACACAATATAACATGGCATCTTGTGAATTAGTGGTTAAATAACATTTTTTTCTTATATTTTTAATAGCTTCCTTTATTTTCATGACAGCTTCGGCTGAAGGGATTCGTTTTCATTTTGACATTCAAAAATCGAGAAGTTGACCTCATAATGAGAAGTTTTAATAATTTAATGTCATGATAATTTCATTGTGGATCAAGACAACAAACATTCAGATGTCACAGAATGCACTTATGAACTAGACATAAACGTTCCAAATAGAACAAAAATAGTTTTTTTTCTTAAGTTTGATACAACTGAAGAACCTTTTCGCATTCTCTAGTTCTTTAGAAAACCTACATAGGCTATAGATGTACTGATGGTGAAGAATCCAGAAACCAATACTCTGATCTTATGAACTTGTAATGTGACTTCAAGACCTTTTACAATTTTCAAAGAATCCTATAACCAACTCAAGAACTGCTTTGCTTTGCTAAACTTGAGGTGCTGAAAAGAACAGTTGAAGAACCCGTATTAGTTAGTTATATCCAACCAACGTCTTGTGGAATGTAAAAACATTTTTTTAAAAAAAAAAATAATTTAAATATTTAAACTATTTAAAAACAATAATAAAAATAAATGATAATAGAAACCATTTCAGATTTATTAATTAAACTTTGGGTTTGTATAAGAAATAACTGAAAGAAAAGTGTACAACAAGTGTAATGAATGAATTAGAAGTTCTGAAATAATAATTTGTATGTGTATATAATTTGTATCAGTTTTATTTACTGCTATACATGATTTTAGTTGTGATACATTTGCAGGCCTGTTTTAACAGTAATTGGCATTTTAGGAAATTATGTATTTTTTCTCTGCTGTTCTAATTTTTGAAAATTCTTTCAAGTGGTTTTAAAAGCTATAAATTATAAACTCAGTATAATTACTGCCATTATTATAATTCAAACATTATCAAATGTATGCCAAGTTACAAATAATGTACCTTTATAAAGCTTTTAAAACTATCTTCAAAAATATATATTTTTATAACTGCCATTGTACTAGTTGTTGATTATTTATCTGTATTATTTCTGTTAAAATATTCAAAAAATGCTTATGCAGACATTATTTAATCTAGCTTTGTTTGCTGCACAATACAGAAGCAGATAAACTAACTGTTTGTAAACTAATAAACCATTGAATTATTTTGTGTTGGTGCTAATATGATTGTAAAGGGAACAGTTAATAACTGGACAATCTTCAAAACTCCAAATGGATCCTTTAAAAATACAGTATTAAGTCTCATGTTCCTGTTTTCTCTCTCCAACAGGAAAGTCATGGAAAGCTTTAACTCCACCACAGAAGAGACCGTACGTGGAGGAAGCGGAGCGGCTGAGGGTGCAGCACATGCAGGACTACCCCAATTATAAATACCGTCCTCGTAGGAAGAAGCAGCTGAAGCGCATCTGTAAACGCGTGGACCCTGGCTTCCTCCTGACCACCCTCGGCCCCGACCAAAACTCCCTCCCGGACCGCCGAGGCTGCTGTCACCCCCTTGATAAAGACGACGAGAGCGGTGTGAGTGGCAGTGGTGGCTTCGGTTCTCCCAGCACAGCTCTACCCGGTGTCAGGGTCTTCAGAGATCCCGCCAGTTCCAACAGCAGCTTCGATATGTACCCGTACGGCTTGCCAACGCCACCTGAGATGTCGCCTCTGGACGCCGTGGATCACGAACACCAGACCTACTACTCGTCCTCCAGCTCAGTCTCCACCAGCTCCTGCTCATCCTCCACCTCTTGCCCAGACGACAGGCGTCCCACCCCGGTGCACATGAGCAGTCCACACCCCTACCATCCCGATTACTCCCAGCAGGTACCTTTGCACTGTGGGAGCTCACATTTGGGCCACATCCCGATGTCCCACCAGGGAAGTGGGGTGACCCTTATCACAGCTCCTCCGTTGTCCTATTACAGCCCTTCGTTCCCGCAGGTTCAGATCCATCATGGGCACCAGGGGCACCTGGGCCAGCTTTCGCCTCCTCCAGAGCAGGGGCACCTGGAGGGTCTGGACCAGCTGAGCCAGGCTGAATTGCTGAGTGAGGTAGACCGAGATGAGTTCGACCAGTACCTAAATTCCACTAGTTATCACCCCGAACAGGGCGGGATGACAGTCACGGGACACATCCAGGTAACGCCGGCTTCCGTTTGCTCCAGCAGCGCTACGGAAACCAGTCTCATCTCTGTATTGGCCGATGCCACGGCAGCCTATTACAACAACTACAGCATTTCATAAACACCAAAACAGAGACAACTGACACAGACAGAGACTGTGGGCTCGACAATATGACTGGCAGGTGAAAGGAAGGCCGTGGAGGGAGCGGAAAAGAGAAGCTACAGGAAGTCAAAGGACACCTCAGGGATGCATAGATAAAAAAAAACTGAAGTTCATTCCCATCTTTGTTTCCAAAAAAAGAACGGAAGTAAAAGAAAAAAATGGACAAACATAGAAAATGCTCTCATGTCTTGCCACAAAAGCATGTACATATGCTATAAAGCTTATTTATATATCAAATTGTTTTGCATTAAAGCTTATTGTATTGCTTTTTTTCAGTCCAGATATATTCATTAGATTTTTTTTCAAACCTCAATAGTTTTACCTCAAGAATTATTTAAATAAGGCTGATCTCTTCCTTCAAAGGACATAATTTTGAAAGAAATTCTGCCCTTTCTTTCCCCTTTACATTAATTTCAAAAATGTATATGTATATTCAGTTAAAAGAATAATAATAATGAATACTATTGTATGCCAGTTTAGGTTTTCCATATTAATTTAATTCAAATAAAATTTAGAGTTTATACATTTAGTATTCTCATTTTTGATATCCACACAGATGTCAAGCGGAAGAACGTAGCTCAGTATTGATGTTTGTTGAACACCGTTCTGTTTGGCCGATTTCAATGGTGAGGACTTTCATAAGATTTCATGATAAATTGCATTGTTTATGCCCATATAATTACAGCACAGTGATTCTGTCTGTAGGTCTGGACTTGAGAAAAAAATGTTGCAGATGCTGTTCATTTTGTGATATATTAAAAGTGAATGTTCTGAGGTCCCATCTGAATTAGACGCCGCTAAATAAAAACACAAAATAAATACAGGTGAAAAGACTCTTGATTTTGTAATGACTGAAAGATTTTTTTTGCTCACTGTTAGTAATAGTAGTAGTATGTATATAAACTGCTTTATTGGAAGTTATAGGTTTATTTTCAGTTTCATTATTATTTAGTAGCTCTTTTTTTAGTTTCATTTTTATTATTCATATATAAATTGCTTTATGGAAGTTACATTTTTCGCTCTTTTTAAATTTTCATAATATTATTTTTTATCATGAGTGAGCATATAAACTATAAATGTTCATTTTTTCACATTTATTTCTTAGAAATATTTACAACTAAACATTTATATTTTTTTCCAATATTTGTGGAGCTTTTTTCCACATTTATTTTAGTACTGAATGCTACCGTTTGAGGTCCCTTCAAGAAGCTGACCTCTACATTTTTTGTTGTTGTGCGTGGCGGGCCGTCGCCATAACCATAGCCCTGGAAACTGGTGGTATCCACCCTACGTTCCCAGTTTGCTATCAGCAACACCCATTATGCACTGTTTCACTCCTCCGCGGATCAGAGGATTAGTGTAAAACAGGCTCTGCTGTTTTTCTTTCCGCCTCCATCTCCACGGGCCTTTTGTTTCCCCTCGTCTTATTCTGGGTGCGTGTCTTAAGCAGAGCGCTGGAACTCCCCTCCTACCCTACCTTCGCCCCCCCTCTGCTGCCTGTCCTATCTTGCTGATGCAGACTTTCATAATCTCTGCGAAATAAATAAATACACCTCGTCCCGTCAACTGTTTTACACGTTCATCGTTTTTTATTTTTCTCCCTCTGTCTCTCTCTCCCTCTCTTTTCAAATTCCTCCTCTTTTTTGATAAAAGGAATCTGAAGTGGGGGAAAGAGGGAGGCGGTGGCGGGCGTTTGACAAATCCTGGAGTCTGGCTTGGTCTTCCTGCGTTTTTTGGGAACGGTTGAGTCGTGTTTCTTGTAAAGAGGATGTGGCGGAGAAGCAGTGTTTCCTGCCTGATAAGAGTAAAGCCTCTCTCCGTCAGGATGTTTGGGCCCCGGCCGGTCCCCGCATTAAAAGAGCCCATAGCGAGGGAAAGGGAACCTGCTGTTCGTTTTAGCAGGGAGGAAACATGGCTCTCGTTGATTAATATCTCACACCGTGGTTTTTTTAGGGCTTCGATTTGACCCTCCTCTGGTTTGGCCACACACCGGGCTCAGCACAGATTTTCTTAATCTGTCTCTGTCACTGGCTCCAAAGACAAGTGCTAGTAGCTTGTGGTTATGATGTGAGTTGAGGCGTCGTATTCGTTTTTAAGAAACGTTTCAGTCAAGGGACATTCATCATGTGACTCCAATTTCTTTTCACAAGTGAGGTTGTTATTAACAGCCTGTGAGTGAATGCTTAAGGTTTGGGAGAGAGGGGGTGATTGGGGCCACCAGCCCCAGGCCGAGGCTTGAATTGTGGCTTATGACCCAGACACCTCTAGGTTCAGAGTAAGTGGGCCCAATACAACCTATTCCACTGGCCTTGGGGAAGGGCATTGTGTCATGGTAAAACACAAAATTCAACATCAGTATGTTTACATACATTTTAAAATGTTGATTTCTGTCAGGCTTAAACAATACATTTATTTGGCCGTGTTGTGTGCTTACTCTAAAGGACAGAGGTGGTGTTCAATGTGTATTTTAATCAATCAAATATTCAGTTACACATTGTATGTATACTTCATGTAAACATGTAAACAGACTAAAAGACATATTTATACAAAATTTAGGCTTTATTAGTAATTATATTACAAAATATTAACTAAAATTTTAAAATGTTGATTTCTGTCAGGCTTAAACAATACATTTATTTGGCCGTGTTGTGTGCTTACTCTAAAGGACAGAGGTGGTGTTCAATGTGTATTTTAATCAATCAAATATTCAGTTACACATTGTATGTATACTTCATGTAAACAGACTAAAAGACATATTTATACAAAATTTAGGCTTTATTAGTAATTATATTACAAAATATGAACTAAAAATATTAACAATCCAGTAATAATAATAAACAGGCTAATATCTCAGTTAGGGTCACAGTATCTTGAACAGGCAAATGCAAGAAAAACACCATTATTTTAGATAAACGAGTACACAATAATACAGGGACATGAATTAGAGAATCATTTTTTAATCTGTTCATCATAATTCGCCCAAAAAGTAGTCTAGACTCGACTTTCCACCACTACAAAGAGAGAAACGTTTAGAGTGAATCGAGTCACTAGAATGAGTCGGACTTTAGTTTCCACTGAAACGATTCATTCGAATTCCAAACGAGAGAAAGGACCATGTGCGTGAGAGCGTTTAATCATTGTCTCTCAGGTAAACATCCTTACTGGACTATCTTTCAAAATATTATCCACTGTTTTAATCATATTTCATTAGGCACATTAACCTAATTAAAAATAAGTCGGAGAATTTAAATGAGCGTGTTTGATTATTCTTTCAGCTAAAACAGCGATGTAGCACTCGTTGGATAAAGTAGCTTGATCGTTACTGGATAGGCTATATTTCAAAATATTATCATGTATTTTAATTATATTTCACTGGACACATTAACCTCATTAAAATAAGACTTAAAAAGAGAGTTTAGATGGGTGTGCTTATTCTTTCAGATAAAACAGTTGTGTAGCAGTTATGTAAATTGATCTTTTCTGGGCATATTTCAAAATATTGTCCAATATTTAAATTATATTTCACTTGATACATTAAATTAATTAAACATAAGATATAAGTTTATACTGTGACCATGACTAAGCCTGCTTTAGGGTTTTCACCAAGACTTTTCATAAACATTGCGGCCCATTGTAGTCACTGTGGAGACTGCTGACTTTCAGGAAACCAGGGCAAACAATCAACTCATCTGCTACGATCTTTTCCTTTGTGAAACTTGAATAATTCTCCATGCAACATACTAAGAATACACTGCACTCAGTGTCACCCACAGAATGGCCTCTATTTCCATGTTCCTTAAATAGGCCAGAGTGTTGGCTAGCTCAATACAGTGCCTGGGAATTACATTAATGTGCAGAATGTTATGTGAATTGTTATTTGTAAAATGAGGTCATGCATGCATTCTTGATTCAATTAAAAATATGCAAACAGTCAACTTGACTATAATAACTTGTCAAATGTGTGGTATACACTGTTTATCAAACTGTTCTTTTCACAATTTCTTACAGCATTACAACTTCAAATTCACGTTTGAATTTGCATCCGTCTCACGACAACCCTTTAAGACATTTATGCTTCAAAGGTATATAATTTAAGTTAACAGATTTCCCCTTTTTAATGGGCTCTTCTTGTTTTTTTCTCTCTGATTGCTCCCGGGATCGGCTCCATTCTCAGGTCAGCTCTGTGGAATGTGGATGTCAGGTAGTCTCAACTGTTTCCTGTTTCCCCAGCAGTGACGTCACATCGCCGGGCAAATATGCAAGAGAGTGCTCCAGCACGCGCCATCTTCCTCACAGCGGCTATCTGATGGTGTGACACTGCGTGTGTATGACCTTGCTGAGCACATCTGGGTAAAGTATTAAGTGTCCTGAGGGAGAGGAGGTCGTGCATATTGACGCCCCTGTCTGAGACATACTGGCTCGAGCTCTGATCATAAGCCTGACTGGGTGTGGAAAAAAGCCACCTGATAACGTCAGCCCATATGCTAAAATGAGTTAGACAGCACATACTGTACACTGTAAAGTTGCAAGGCTTTTCAAGATTAAACAATAAAATACTTTGATTTTTACTTTGCAAATTAATGCAGGCAGATGCAAAGTCGTTTATAAAAAAATTTATTACACATTGCATTATTCAAGTCAACATTATGGTTATTTGTATTTTCTTTGGCTGAGAATGTAAAAAAAAATGCAACTGCATAATTTATTTATGCCAGCGTAGTATTCATACAGTTACAGTTATGACTGTAATGCAGACAGATAATTATTGAGATTCTAGCACATGCTGCTATTATCACAGTTATTTCCTGCTACTGTTCACTGTTAAATTAAATATATATAAATTATATAAATAACAATTATTTATGAAAAAAAGAAAAGTTTTTACATTAAAATAATAATCCCTGGAAGCCCGCCTTAAAGTAAAAAAGAAAAAAGGTAAATCTGAGATAAATTTTAAAATAACAGTATTACAACTGTAAGATATACGTAGTTGCAATTATGATATTTCAAGTGTGAGATATAAAGTTAATTACAAGAAATAAATTGACAT